ACTTCCCACATTCGCTGCACTGATAAGGCCTTTCTCCAGTGTGAACTTTCTGATGTTTAATGAGAATGGAGTTCTGGCTAAAGAACTTCCCACATTCACTGCACTCATAAGGCCTTTCTCTTGTGTGAACTCTCCAGTGCTCAATGAGACTGGAACTGTGAGCAAAGGCTTTCCCACATTCACTGCACTCATAAGGCCTTTCGCCGGTGTGAATTCTCCAGTGCTGAATCAGGCTGGAGCTGCGACTGAAGGCCTTTCTACATTCACTGCATTCATAAGGCCTTTGCCCGGTATGTACTTTCTGGTGCTGAATGAGAGTGGAGCTATTGCTGAAGGCTTTTCCACATTCACTGCACTCAAAAGGCCGTTCTCCAGTGTGAACTTTCTGATGTCGAAGGAGGTGGGAGCTCTGGCTGAAGTCTCTTCCACATTCACTGCACTCAAAAGGCCGTTCTCCAGTGTGAACTTTCTGGTGCTGAGCAAGGTTGGAGTTATTATTAAAAGCTCTTCCACACTCGCTGCACTCATAAGGCCTTTCTCCAGTGTGAACTCTCCAGTGTTGAATGAGAGCAGAGCTACGGCTGAAGGCTTTACCACATTGATTGCACTCATATGGTCTTACTTGGGTGTGAACTTTCTGGTGCCGAAGGAAATTAGAGCTTTGGCTGAAGGCTCTTCCACATTTGCTGCACTCAAAAGGCCTTTCTCCAGTGTGAACTTTCTCATGTCGAGTGAGGTGTGACCTGTTATTAAAGGCTTTCCCACATTCACTGCACTCATAAGGTCTTTCTCCTGTATGAATTCGCTGGTGATGAACAAGTGTGAGTTTGTGGCTGAAGGTTTTCCCACAATCATTGCACTTATAATGTTTTACTCCAGTGTGAAATTTCTGGTGCTTCCTCAGTTTAGAAGGGTGACTGAAGGTCTTCTCACACTCTTTACATACATGACATGTCTCTTCATTATGACATTTTTGGTGATTAACAAGGGTTGATTTCTCCTCTAAGGAATTTTCAACTGTTGGGCATCTAAACAGTGTCTCTTCAGAATGAATTCTCAGGTGGTTGAGGAGGGTGGAGCTCTTCTGAAAGACTTTTCCACAGTCGTTGCACTTGAAGAGCTCCTGGGTGGAATGGACTTCTAAGAGCTGCTCAAGATTAGAACTGTGTGAAAAGGCCTTCCTGCACTCTGTGCTTCTATATGGCTTCCCACTGCTCTCAATGGCTGGATGCTGGAAGAGGTCATGGCTGTCCAAGGCATCCTCACCATCTTCCCAAGTGAAAGGCTTCTCTGACAGATGGACTATAGAGTGTTCCACAAATGAGTCCCTGTCCTTGTCCCATCTGAAGGGCTTTTCTCTACTGTGCTCCTCCTGGTGCTGGTGAAGGTTCACACTGAACCAAAACTCTCTTCCACATGCTCCACATGTATAGAGGGTACTCTCAGGATATGTTCTTTGATGTTCATCCAGGTGCAAAATGTCTTTCAAGAATGGGCCACACATATCACAGGTGTCAGCCTTCTGCGTGGAAGGATTTGCAGTGGGGATCCTGACCTGTAACATCCCTTGTATAGAAGCATTCTGCTTGGAATGGGCCCCCTCATCTTCCACTCCATGCCAACAACCTAAAAGCAGAGAAATTTCTGGTAACCTGAGTGCTCCACTTGGTGGAAAGGGTGATTTCATTAGAAATGTGTGGCTGGACATATACAGCAATGGGTCCAAGGGATGGTGACAGGTCAAGGGGGCCAGAAGAAGAATGAAGGGCCCACTGTGTAGGACAGGGATAGCCAAGCTACAGAATAAAGGAGGCCTTACTAGAGGAAATGACAAAGGACTTGAATAGACATTTCTTAAAAGGAGATATGTATATATACATACACATAAACAAATGGCCAACAAGCACATGAAAAGTTGCTCAACATCATTAGTTATTAGAGAAATGCAAACCAAAACTACAGTGAGATACCATTTCACACCAACTAGGCTATCTATAAGAAAACAGACAATAACAAGTGTTGATAAGGAAGTAGAAAAATTGGAACACTCATACACTGCAGTGGGAATATAAAATGGTGCCGCCAATTTGGAAAACACCTTGGCAATTCCACTATGTATCTACCCAAGAGAAATGAAAACATACTTACGTAAAAACTTGTACATGAATGTTCATAGCAACATTTTTCATAACAGCCAAAAAGTGGAAACAAGACAAATGCTCATCAACTGATGAATGAATAAACAAACCATTGTATATCTACACAATGGAATATTATTTGGCCATAAAAAAGAATGAAGTACTGGTAAATGCTACAACGTGGATTAACCTTACAAACATTACACTAACTGAAAGCCATTCACAGAGAAACATATACTGTGTGACTCCATTTATATGAAATGTTTAAATAAGCAAATCTATATAGTCATAAAGTATATTAGCAGTTGCCTAAGGCTGAGGAAGAAGAGATGAGGGAAGATGAGGAATGACTGTTAATGGGTACAATTTCTTTTTAGGTGATAAAAATGTTAGATTATGGTGATATTTATACAACTCTGCAAATACCTAAAAACCACTGAATTATACATTCTGAAGTATGAATTTTATGGTATAGCTTAACAAAGTTTAAAAAAAAAAGTCCCATGGGGGAAGGGACAGATTCTGGGCATGGCCCCATAGTGGGTCACCGAGCCAGAAATTGGTCTAGCTTAGTGGGATCCATGAGGCACACCATATGTCCCTGATTCCCAACCTCTGTTCCCACAAGGCCCCTGGGCAACAGCTATTAGGACTATTTATGAGGCTGCTCAGAGAAATACAAGGAGAATGCACACAGCCCAGTCCTAGCATCCACAGCATCTATAACAGGAAACCTGGGAAGAACCAGTGCCAATGGTCGAACTTTGGGATGAACAGAAAACTCTCTATGGGAAGAAGGTAAAAGGGAAGAAGCTGGTCACCATGCTGGGGCAGGGCAGAAAGGCCTTACCAAGTGAGGTCATGAGCTCAAAGTTCTCCAGCATAACATTGTGGTACAGGTCCCTCTGGCCTGCATCAAGAAGCCCCCACTCCTCCTTGGAAAAGTACACAGCCACATCTTCAAAGGTCACTGGGCTTTGCAATGATGAAACAGCTAAGCTAGAAGGCCAACAGATGGGCTGAAAAGCAAACAAAAAGTCAAATGGACACATCCAGTTCCTTGACCTATGACTCAAGTTCTGCTACATCTACCACTGGCATCTTCTCTTCTTGTGACTCCTTCAGTCCATCCTTCCCTCACCCACCCACAGCTCCTCCTCCTCCTCAGGCCCCCACCTCAGAGTAGACAAGAGGCCCTGTCACCACAGATGTCCCTTTATCCTTGTCGTCTCACTAGTTACTGTAGCCAGACCAATCCAATCCAATCTAGAGGAACAAAAAGCTGATACAGATGCTGTCTGTGCTCTGTGCTAGCCAGGAACCCACTCTTCACACTAAACAAGCTCCTTTGTGTCCCCCAGATCACACCTCCCAAGTATAAGAAAATTTGGACTCTATTTCCTCCCTTAAGCCTCTAGTGCCAGGGCCCTGGGCCCATTGGTTCACATTCCCTTACCTTGTACATGTCACTCTTTGGACACCCACTCCCCAGCCCCCACCTTCCCTTCCTGTCCACACCACTGGCATATCCCTAGTTCCTATATCCCACTGTGCACATGGCATACCCAACATAAAATGGGCAACCAGGATTCAATACTAAGCCTGGCTTGCCCCACATCTCCAAAAATCGCCACTGCCAGAGACAATCATCACTTCTGGTTAATGCCTCCCCACTTTGCCTTGTTGCTTCAGCCTTCAGCTCCCCAGAATCATGAATAGATCTTAAACACCCCTGCTCTCTTCCACCTCCACCCTCTACATGCTTTCCCTTCAGCAGTCGTAGCTGTTTTCACAGATAGACAAATCCCAGACCCTAGGCTTGGGGACTCTTAGTTTAGACTGACCCTTTCTGCCCCTGATTACTCCTCCACCCTGAAAAAAACCCCAGACCCCAAGGAGGATGGCCACAAAAACCTGGTGAGCTGTAGAGAGGTAAACCAGTCTCATCTCAGACCCCACTGTCATCCTACCTCTGTTACTTTCATGCTTCATTTTTTTCATCGCAGGTCTAGTCTCTAGGTAGAGGCTTGGTCACCATTCTGGTCAACCCCCAGCCACACATAATGTCAACACACAAGTCTCCCTTGGATGTCTCCAGCATAAAGCATACTTGGCACTTCCATTTGGCAGTCTACAGGACACCTCAAATACAATACGGCTAAAACCTAGCTCTTCATCTTCCCTCTGAAATCTACTCCTCATGCCAACTTCCACACCTGACAAACCTGTCTGGGTCAACCCTGATATCTCACTGCCTCACAGCAGGAAATCTAGTCCACCCTACTTAAAAGGGAGATTCAGGAGCCAACAATTTCTCCTACTTCTACCTTTGGTCCAGCCACCAAAGCACACACTTGAACTGTTGCAGTCACTCAATGGAAGACTCAGTGGTCTTCCTGCCTCCAACTTCACCTCCAGAGAGAACTCTGTTCTCTCCTGGCCATCCAGAGGGAGCCTATTAAGATCTGAATCAGATCACCTCCCTCCTCTGCTCTAAACTTTCCGGGATTCACCATGCTTAGAATAGAGACCCAGCTACTCAGCCTGCCATTCCAGGCCGAGACCTGTCCCCATGCTTTCTATGTTCACCAGATGAAATGCAGACCTGCAGTTCCTTGAACACTTCCACCTTATACTCACCTTCAAGAAATTTGCACATGCTGGTCCCTGTGCCTGGGATACCCTTCCAGACCTTATCCCATAGGATTCCAGAAATATG